TGTTTACTGTGTTTCAGAACCTCAGGTATATACACCATACATGGTATTTTATTTAATCTTGTGAATTGATTAATATGTTGTCACCACGTTATAGGTGTGCATTATGAAATTAGAGAAATAAATATATTGTCCACTCTATCAACTACCAGGGCCAAGAATGAATTACATGCGCAGATAACAAATCCTCTGCTCTAACTCCTGAACCTACACCCCTTTTCAAAAGCTCTTAAAATGACCTCTCAGGAAACTTCACCTGTTCTCCTCAATCCTTACCAACTCTCACCAATCTCAGAAGCCTCCAGAATTCCTACACATATTTCCCTGGGTATGACTCATAACCTCGGAAGAGAATAAACTCTCTTTCTGTTTCTTGTTGTAAGCTTATATAAATTTAACCTCAAAGTCTCTCCCTTCCACTTATTAACACCTCCCTCATGGGCAGCAAAGAAAAGGATGCTAATTTTCCTCACTTCTCTGGCAGGAGGATATTTCCAGTAGGTAGTGTAAGAAGATGGTCCTCAGCAGAGGAAGAAATTAAAGCTAGTGAAGGACAAATTACACACCCCACCTCCAGCTTCATCATTTTTCAAAGGAGGCAACAAAATTAGAGGGCTCTTATACCCTGTTCAGTTTTATATCATGACTCAGGGACATCAATTTTCACCAGTTGCTTCCCATAAGTGTGACTGGGGAGGGGCTCTGATTAAGAGGAATAAGAAAACTATGTTTAGACAGCATGGGATTCAGATGTTACTCTGAGACCCCAGGAACAGTGCAAGAAAGGGGTCTCACAAAGGTGCCTTTTTCTTCTTTCTAAACCTGATGACTTCTGCCAGCCTTCTATCTTGCTCCTCTGTAAACCATTAACTGGTATAAAAATAATGATTTCTTCAAAGAGGGAGTGGGTACTACTTCTAGTATTTTTCTCAAAATGAGCTTGAATGTACAGGAAAACTCACAAAGATGGGGAATGGTTGGAGCTGAGGCACCTGCTTCCTGAAGCGAGTGCAGTGTGTGATGAGTCCCAGATACCTCTTCTACCCTGATGGAGAGGAGAGGACACAGGGAGGATAAGGAACTTATATATATAGTTCTTATATATATAGCCTATATATATATATATATATATATATATATAGGCTTTATAGTCTGATCAACTAAAACCAACCCATTCCCCAGAGACATTCCTGTGGAGTCCAGGGAACGAATTACAAATCATATTCCCACCATTCTACGTCTTTCCTACAAAGCAGTGCAAAACCTCCCCTTCCCCTCTTGGCTCTCCTGCTTTGTTATCTTTGATAGTGTACAGGTGTGTGTGTGTGTGTGTGTGTGTGTGTGTGTGTGTGTGTGTGTGCATAGATGTGTGCACCTGCTCATGCAGAGAAGTTAGAACTCATGAAGAATGGCAAAGATGTCTGTGCTCGAGGATCTTGGTATAAAAATTTAACAGATAAGTCATACGTTACTGATTATCTTCCATAGTAAAATCCCCAAGGATACGAATGTGTTATGTACTTGATCTTGAAATTGTTCCTGTCTCCATATCTTACTTTGGGAAAGATTCATGATGTAATAAATGTGACCCCCATGGAGCTTATTAAGGTAGCCCCTCAAAGGACTATATCTTTCTCAGGGAGTGAACAATCTCTGTCTGCTGAAAAGTGCGAATGTGCAATAATTATCAAAATTTTCCATTGCAAATATTAATCATTACTTGGAAACTCATGTAGGTTGAATCCAATTGCCTGAATGCTTTCCTGCTTTAAGCTACACCTTAAGTATTTCCCCAATTTCAAAAATATTTGCCCCCTAAATGTCTATACTATATCTGGAGAGGCCATTATCCCCTCTCTGTTGTAAGCACAGTGTTGTAAGCATTGGATTTAGATGATGGATGGCTTTTCCTGAACCTATAGAAACACAGGACAACAAACAAACATGATGACTCAGATCCCTTAAATTCATGAGTATTTACACTGATTGGCCCTTGATGCTCCCAGAAATCATAGTGTATTTCCTAGTCTCTTCTCTCAGGGTTTTTTTTTTAAATTATTTTCTCTGTAAACTTCCCATAAATCCTTCCACCCACAGTCTTAGCTGCTGAATGAGAGTCACTGAGACCATAAAAAGCAATCAGATGACAGTCTGTGCAATCCTAACTAACACACTGACCGAGTTGCTGAATGTGTGCATTTATCCCAACTTCTCTGCCCTTCCTGTGGAGTTACTAGTTTTTCCCCAGAGAAGGCCAGCCTACAAATTATACTATAAATTCCATCCCTCTTTCCTACTCGAGAACTTCTCTCCAGCAATTTCTGTCTCAAATGTCTCTGCTCCTATTTTGTCTTGAACATATCTGGTCAGAATGGGAAACTCGAGAGAGAGATTGGGGCAGCCTGCAGGGGCACCAGCTACTGCCTTCTCTGCAGCTTGGTAGCCAGGGGTGGAGGGAAGCCACAGCTGAAACCCAAAGTTGGACCTCTCTGCCCTGTCCCACTGTCTCATTTCTCCCTGTTCAAGGCTGAGAAGTCCCCAGATCTGCAGTCATTAAGCTGGAGATCCAGGAGGATAGTGCTGTAGTTTCAGTATGAATCCAAAGGCTGAATGTCCAAGTTTAAAACATCAGAAAAATTTGTGGACCATGAGAGACTACTACAAGCAACTGTATGCCAATAAAATGGACAACCTGGAAGAAATGGACAAATTCGTAGAAAGGTACAATCTCCTAAGACTGAACAGGAAGAAATAAAAAATATGAACAGTCTAATTACAAGTACTGTAATGGAATGTGTGATCAAAAAACTCACAACAAACAAAAGTCCAGCACCAGTTGTCTTCACAGGTAAATTCTATCAAACATTTAGAGAAGAGTTAACAAGTATGCTTCTGAAACTATTCCAAAAATTGCAGAGAAAGGAACACTTCTAAACTCATTCTATAAGGCCACCATCATGCTGATACCAAAACCAGACAAAGATACCACAAAAAAAGAAAATTACAAGGCAATGTCGCTGATGAACATAGAGGCAAAAGTCCTCAACAAAATACTTGCAAACCAAATCCCACAATATATTAAAAAGATCATACACCATGATCTAGTGGGATTTATCTCAGGGATACAAGGATTTTTCAATATCTGCAAATCAATCAGTGATTGTTAACCACATTAACAAATTGAAGAATAAAAACTATATAATCATCTCAATAGATGCAGAAAAACCTCTGACAAAATTCAGCATCCATTTCTGATAAAACTCTCCAGAAAATGAGCATGGAGGGAATCTACCTCAACATAATAAAGGCCATATATGACAAATCCACAGCCAACATCATTCTCAATGATGAAAAACTGAAACCATTTCATCTAAGATGAGGAAAAAGGCAAGGATGTCCACTCTCACCACTGTTATTCAACACAGTTTTGGAAGTCCTAGCCACGGCAATCAGAGAAGAAAAAGAAATTAAAGGAATACAAACTGGAAAAGAAGAGGTAAAACTGTCACTGTTTGCAGAGGACATGACACCATACATACAGAATCCTAAAGATGCCGCCAGAACTCTACTAATCAATGAATTTGGTAAAGTTGCAGGATACAAAATTAATGCACAGAAATCTCTTGCATTCCTATATACTAACAATGAAAGATCAGAAAGAGAAATAAAGGAAACAATCCCATTCACCACTGCAACAAAAAGAATAAAACACCTAGGAATAAACTTACCTAAGGAAGTAAAAGGCCTGTACTCAGAAAACTATAAGACACTGACGAAAGAAATCAAAGATGACACAAACAGGTGGAGAAATATACCATGTTCTTGGATTGGAAGAATCCATACTGTGAAAATAACTATACTACCCAAAGCAATCTGCAGATTCAATGCAATCCCTATCAAATAACCAACGGGATTTTTTACATAACTAGGACAACAAAATCTTAAAATTTGTATGGAGACACAAAAGACCCCACATAGCCAAAGCAATCTGGAGGGAAAAAAAAATAACAGAGCTGGAGAAACCAGATTCCCTGACTTCAGACCATACTACAAAGCTGCAGTAATCAAGACAATATGGTTCTGGCACAAAAACAGAAATATAGATCAATGGAACCGGATAGAAAGCCCAGAGATAAAATCATGCACATACGGTCAACTAATCTCTGACAAAGGAGGCAAGGATATACAATGGAGAAAAGACAGTCTCTTCAATAAGTGGTGCTGGGAAAACTGGACAGCTGCATGTAAAAGAATGAAATTATAACACTCCCTAACACCATACAGGAAAATAAACTCAAAATGGATTAAAGACCTAAATGTAAGACCGGACACTATAAAACTCTTAGAGGAAAACATAGGAATAACACTCTTTTACATTAATCACAACAAGATCTTTTTTGACCCACCTCCTAGAGTAATGGAAATAAAAACAAAAATAAACAAATGGGACCTAATGAAACTTAAAAGCTTTTGCACAGCAAAGGAAACTATAAACAAGATGAAAAGACAATCCTCAGAATGGTAGAAAATATTTGCAAATGAATAAATGGACAAAGGATTAATCTCCAAAATATATAAACAGTTCATGCAGCTCAATATTAAAAAAACAAACAACCCAATCCAAAAATGGGCAGAAGACCTAAATAGACATTTCTCCAAAGAAGACATACAGATGGCCAAGAAGCACATGAAAAGCTGCTCAACATCACTGATTATTAGAGAAATGCAAATCAAAACTACAATGAGGTATCACCTCACACCAGTTAGAATAGGCATCATCAGAAAATCTACAAACAACAAATGCTGGAGAGGGTGTGGAGAAGAGGGAACCCTCTTGCACTGTTGGTGGGAATGTAAACTGATACAGCCACTATGTAGAGTAGTAAGGAGATTCCTTAAAAAACTAAAAACAGAATTACCATATGATCCAGCAATTTAGTTTTTTGCAACAGCAATCATATCTCTTAAGGAGAAAAATCCACCGAACCAAGTTGTACCCTGCTTCACATTGTCCGGTTTTTCTGCAATACTCTGCGGAAGGCAGCCTTCACTTGAACATTCCTTAAACTGTAGACAAGGGGGTTCAGCAATGGGTTGAAGACAGTGTAAAACAGGAAAAGGATCTTCAGCTGCTCCTCTCATTGACTATTGTCGGCGACCATATAAACCATCATGGCGATGCCAAAGTAGAACCCAACCACACAGAGGTGGGAGGAGCAGGTGGAAAAGGCTTTCTTGTGGCCCTTCTTTGACTGGATCTTCAGGATGGCCCACAGGTTGCGCACGTAGGAGACCAGCATCAGGGAAAGGGGCACAGTTAAGATAAACACACCATCAGCAAAGAGGAATATTTCGTTGATCCAGGTTTCACCACAGGCCAATTTGAGGACAAAGCGAATTTCATAGAAGTGGTTCAACTCCTGGGGCCCACAGAAGAAGTAAGAGAATTACTTGTACTAGAGCCAGGGAAAATCTACATGCCCAGGAAGTGATGGCTAGGACCATGCACAATCTCCAGTTCATGATGCCAGTGTACTGGAGGGGGTGGCAGACTGCCACGGACTTGTCATAGGACATCACCACCAAAATCAGGCACTCTATAGAACCAAACTCAAAATGAGAAGCGTCTGCATAGTGCATGAGAAACAGGAGATAGTATTTTTGTGTTTCAGTAGGTTTTCCAGCAAACTGGGCAAATTGCTGGAAGCATAGGATATGTCAATGATGGCCAGATGAGAAAGGAAGTAGTACATGGGGGAGTACAGTCTGGGGTCTAGGGAAATGAGTCCCAAGATCATGCCATTTGCCAGCAGGTTGAAGGCATATAACAGGGAGAAGATACCAAAGAGGAGCAATTCCATCTCTTCACTGAGCTGGAATCCTACCAGCATGAATTCTGTATTTGTTGCCCTCCATTCCTTATGACAGTCTGAAAAGGACTGAAGTGTGATAGAAAGGTCAGAGCTGGATAGCAATGAAAACCAGAGTTACCTACCTGAAGTGAATTCAGAGGAAGCTTGTGTACTTGTCCCTACTTCACTTAGTTTTTTTCTCCAAAGTTTCTTTACCTTTTGCTTTCTTACTTGTTATTGTGAAGCAATTCAAGTTTTCATGTAAGTATCAGGAATTATAAATAATACTAGTATATAGTTTACCAAATTGTTTTTTTCATGTTTGCCTTATCATTTATTTTCTCTGTATGCACATAGTACCAATTTTCTATAGACCACATAAGATTATATTGAAACCATATTCACATACTGACAATTTATTCCTAAACTCCTTTGATTTATTTCACAATAACAAGTAAATTCACTGATCTGTTCTCAGTATAATTACCAGAATCTGGAGACATAACATTAACATAATTCACTATTCTAAATACAGCATTTTCTGCCCATGTAGTCTAAAGTTCAAATCCAGTATCACTTATCATACTCTCTAATCTTAAATAGTTAGCTTTTCTTGCCTTGACTCTGATATTTGTGAAGAGTATGAGCTCTTGTGGTTTTTTTTGTTTGTTTGTTTCTTTGTTTGTTTGTTTGCGGTACGCGGGCCTCTCACTGCTGTGGCCTCTCCCTCTGCGGAGCACAGGCTCCGGACGCGCAGGCTCAGCGGCCATGGCTCACGGGCCCAGTCGCTCCGCGGCACGTGGGATCCTCCCGGACCGGGGCACGAACCCACGTCCCCTGCATCGACAGGCGGACTCTCAACCACTGCGCCACCAGAGAAGCCCCTGAGCTCTTCTCTTGTTTTGTATAATATCTCTCAATTGCGGTTTTCCATTGATTGTCCGTGTTTTAGTCCAGATTAAAAACTTTTGGCAGAAAAATAAAAGTATCTTTCTTAATGCCTTCAGTTAATACACAGATAATGTTAATTTGGCCCAGTATTGGTGATGTTCATGTGGATTACTTGGTTAAGGTGGTGTCTCCAAGTTATTTCCATTATAAAGTTATTAATCCATAATTTTTAAGTACTTTCTTCCTTCTGGCTTAACAAACTATCCTCTACTCATCTTATGATTTCCTACTTCAGATTGGAATCAGTTATTTCATTAAAAATTGTCTCCTTTTTTTTAAAAGAATCATATTTTCAAAGCAATATCTGCTTTTATTGGATGTTAAATAATTAATTTTTATCACGATTGTTGCCAAAATTTGATATCCTCATTTAATAGGGAAATATATAATTTGGGACAGTATATAAATTGTTAAGGGGATAATGTATTCTTAATTTTATTTGTTTAATCCTGATACATCTTTACTGACTTCTTTTGGAGAAGCAAATATATTTCACTAAATTAACAAGACTGTTAAAATGATCTCAATATTATCAACATTATTATTAACAAGATGATGACATTGTACTGGAGGCGATGGCAGATTGCCACATACCTGTCGTAGGACATCACCACCAAAGTCAGGAACTTTATAGAAGCAAAAGTCTATACATTTATCTTTACCTTTTTTGTTTTTCTTTGTATTCAGAAAATTACAGACTCTTGGACATTTTATACTTAGAGCTTAAAGTTTCAATAATCTGGTTCACTGTGTGAATAAACTCATATCTACCTATGTGACATGAGATTTTGACATCAAGTTTTCTAAATCTCTTAGAAAAAGATGAAATTTGATAAAATGCTAAAGAAATAATACATATATGAAACAGATAGCTTAAGGTTATCATTGTTAATAATTTATATATACCACTTTCCATTATTCACTGTACATTTTTCATATATATAATTAAAATTATATGAATAGTATTATCTATTTCTTTCAGTTAGTACAACATCATATATATTTTCCACATCAAATATTTCTTGGCAACATAGTCTAAACATTCACACACTATTTTGTCACACATGAACATTTTATTTAATGTATTACCTTGTTGTGTGCAATATAATGCTACAGTTTCTAAATTTCATACATTTTTGGGGTATATTTTAGTGTTTTTTTATACTAAATTCCAGGACATGGAAGTTCTAGGTCAAATCTATTCCTTCCTTCCTTCCTTCTTCCTTCCCTTTCCTTCCTTCCTTTCTTCCCTTCCTTCCTCCCTCCCTTTTTTCTTTCCATGTTCCCTTCCATGTTTCCTTTCATTCTTCCTTTCTACTCACCTACCTATCTTTCTGTCTACCCCTCTATTATAAAACACCCTAAGTAAAATTTCTCATTTCCAATAGAAAATTTCTTCTTTACATTAAAATAATAGCAGCTCAGGAAACAAAGGTGTGAATGATCAGTACATGGTATTCTCCACTGGGGTAGTCCGGCAACTGAGCTTGGGAACTTTAAGCTATTCCTCCAACTCTAGTCAGTGTAATTGACACTCATTTTATCCTAGTTTGTGGTAGGAGAGATATTTCTATCAAAACAGAAATCCTAAGCCTAATAATTATCCATATTAGATGGTAGCCTAGGAAAGTCTCAGTAAGATATAACTATATTGCAAAACTCTTACACTGTTTCAGCAAAGAAAAGAGTTTACTATAACTGTTACCAGAATTTTGTTTTCCAATATAAGAGGTTACTCTAGCAATACATTTATCTATAAGGTAATATACGGTTGTTTTGTTCTTTTGGCCATGTCAGAGCTTTATCCAGAAGAAATGTCTGCATATTAAGACTCCAGCCAAATTATTCTCAAACAATAGAGTTGGGCTAATATGAATGACCATCACTCAACCCCACTGGGGAAGTGATGTCGAGAAAGCTGCTGAGGAATAGGATACCCCTGTCACATCTCAGCAGGCAGAAGCTCCAGGAGCTGGGGTGGGGGTAGTCATTACTATAATACATTTAGTAATATAATTACAGTAATATACAGTTATTAAATACATATATACACATATATAATGTATGCAATTTTTATACAAACAAGAACTAATAAAATATGCCCTATTAGATATTCCGAAAAAATACTTCTCAGTCAATTGTAAATTACAGATATGTACATCATTTAACACCCATTTATGATAAAAACCCTGCAGAAAGTAGCCATATTCCGAAAAAATACTTCTCAGTCAATTGTAAATTACAGATATGTACATCATTTAACACCCATTTATGATAAAAACCCTGCAGAAAGTAGCCATAGAGGGAACTTTCCTCAGCATTATAAAGGCCATATATGAAAAACCCACAGCCAACATCATCCTCAATGGTGAAAAACTGAAACCATTTCCACTAAGATCAGGAAGAAGACAAGGTAGTCCACTCTCACCACTATTATTCTACATAGTTTTGGAAGTTTTAGCCACAACAATCAGAGAAGAAAAAGAAATAAAAGGAATCCAAATTGGAAAAGAAGAAGTAAAGCTGTCACTGTTTGCAGATGACATGATGCTATACATAGAGAATCCTAAAGATGCTACCAGAAAACTAGTTGAGCTACTCAATGAATTTGGTAAAGTAGCAGGATACAAAATTAATGCACAGAAATCTCTTGCATTCCTATACAGTAATGATGAAAAATCTGAAAGTGAAATTAGGAAAACACTCCCATTTACCATTGCAACAAAAAGAATAAAACATCTTGGAATAAACCTAGCGAGGGAGAGAAAAGACCCGAATGCAGAAAATTATATAACACTGATGAAAGAAATTAAAGATACCATGTTCTTAGATTGGAAGAATCAACACTGTGAAAATGACTATACTACCCAAAGCAATGTACAGATTCAATGCAACCCCTATAAAACTGCCAATGGCATTTTTCACAGAACTGGAACCAAAAATTTCACAATTTGTATGGAAACACGAAAGACCCTGAATAGCCAAAGCAATCTTGAGAAAGAAAAACGGAGCTGGAGGAATCAGGCTCCCTGACTTCAGACTGTACTACAAAGCTACAGTAATCAAGACAGTATGGTACTGGCACAAAAACAGAAATATACATCAATGGAACAGGATAGAAAGCCCAGAGATAAACCCACGCACATATGGTCACCTTATCTTTGATAGAGGAGGCAAAAGCATACAGTGGAGAAAAGACAGCCTCTTCAATAAGTGGTGCTGGGAAAACTGGACAGCTACATGTAAAAGAATGAAATTATAACACTCCCTAACATCATACACAAAAATAAACTCAAAATGGATTAAAGACCTAAATGTAAGGCCAGACACTATCAAACTCTTAGAGGAAAACATAGGCAGAACACTCTATGACATAAATCACAGCAAGATCCTTTTTGACCCACCTCCTAGAAAAATGGAAATAAAAATAAAAATAAAAAAACTGGGACCTAATGAAACTTAAAAGCTTTTGCACAGCAAAGGAAAATATAAACAAGACGAAAAGACAACCCTCAGAATGGGACAAAGTATTTGCAAATGAAGCAAATGACAAAGGATTAACCTCCAGAACATACAAGCAACTCATACAGCTCAATATCAAAAAAAAAACAAACAAGTAAATCCAAAAATGGGCAGAAGACCTAAATAGACATTTCTCCAAAAAAGATATACAGACTGCCAACAAACACGTGGAAGGATGCTCAACATCATTAATCATTAGAGAAATGCAAATTAAAAGTACAATGAGATATCATCTCACACTGGTCAGAATGGCCATCATCAAAAAAGTCTACAAACAATAAGTGCTGGAGAGGATGTGGAGAAAAGGGAACCCTCTTGCACTGTTGGTGGGAATGTAAATTGATACAGTCACTATGGGGAACAGTATGGAGGTTCCTCAAAAAACTAAAAATAGAACTACCATATGACCCAGCAATCCCACTACTGGGCATATGTCCTGAGAAAACCATAATTCAAAAAGAGTCATGTACCAC